AAAGGAATTCTGAGAAGGAAAAACAAGGATATCAAATCATCCAGACACGAGGAAACTCCAGCAGCTGATTTAATTGTAGAAATTACCTTAAGTGCTAATAAATGAAAGCTGAAGTTAGAAGATGAAATGAACACAAACTTATCAGACTTAAATAAAAAACCATAACATAAATGTCTAAACAATGATTATGCTAATATCAGCAGTGAGCAAAAACTGAGAACAAATGAATTTGTACACATAAGAAAACATATCGGACCTCAGCAATGGGTGGAGAGGAAGGGTGTAAACAATGATGAGACCAGGGTCCCTAGTGCAAATAGGACCTACTAAAAATGGGACTTCCAATCATCATCAAAGTAACAATTTTTTTAAAAAAAATACATTTCCAGCCTTTCTATGCAGTATAAGCACTTGGCATGTACAATATCAACCCACTCAAAACCTCAAGGAGATGAATGTGTTAATACAAACATATAAAGATATATTCAGTGCATCTTAATTACAATTGATATTGAGTTTATCTAAAAGTATGCCGTTTATAATGTCTCTCATAGCTGATACTGTAAACTAGTGTGTAGACTGTGTTTCACTCCTCAGATATCTTACAACAAATACTCCCAACAACTTCTCAGTTCACCTATATTAAGAGTTATTTCTCAGCAAATACATAAAAACACACGTGCACGCATACACAAACAAATAAGAAGATAAGCCAAAGGGAAAATAAAATATTTGATACTAAAATCATCTCAATAAATATATTAAGCAAAACAAACAGATAGCAGTGACACACTAAAAACTCACTTGACAAGCTTGAAAGTGTTCATAGGAACCTCAGGAAGGAATGTATCGCATTCGAAGGTCTTGAAGATTTTTGTCAGGTAAATACGAGAGCAGTGAGGTGAAGCCATTGCTTCCTATAACAGAAATTAACATATCATCTATGTCTCAGTGTTGGATGAAACTGCCAAACAGTTGCATTTTCAATAAATCCGATCCTTTAAAGACTTATCTGATGAAACCATATTCAAAAAGAGATTTATCAAGGGAAGAACAGTTTTATAATTACAGACTCTCCAGAGCATGAAGAACAGTAGAATGTGCCTTCAGTATAATTGCAGCCAAATGGAGGTTACTCAATAAGTGTATTGAAACTAAACCAGATAAAGCTGACATAATCATTAAGTGTATATGCTTGTTATATAATATTATTATTGAGAAGGAAGGTATTTATGATCCATCTATTACATCGTCGACACCACAAAATGCAAGCATAATAAATACAAACAAATCACGATCAAATAATAGGTCAGCACAACAGGCTTGTGACATCAGAGATGCATTTAAAAACTATTTTAACAGTAGTGAAGGTAGCATTATCCAACAGTTCAACGTTCCCTAATTATCTGTGCCACACACAATCCACTAACTCAACAAACACAAATGTAGAATTTGTACTGGTATAGCAAGGAACAGTTTGTAATAAACTTAAATTGCAATATATATACTTACTTGAAACATTCATAACCACATTAATTTTTTTCCATAACTTCCTTGAAACCTCTCTGTTGTGATATCTTTTCATTTTTTGGTCCCACAAAGCCTTCTCACTGAACACAAGATGAATTAATTTTTAAGTATCCATCTCTTCGCACGAATGAAAACAAACCTGTTTGAACGACGAGGGATGTCGAGCGATACGCACAATAACTTCACTTGCAGTGTGACCGGTTACAGACCTTGTAACGTGTTTGATAGTTCGCCCGATAACGCCCTACCATCAATTTGCACAAATACGCTTGCAGTGTGACCGCAGCCTTAGAAGCTGCATTGCTATAATACCAAATCCAATTTTCTAGAAAAAGACATGATTTTTATTGATAAATGTGTTGCTAAAATGTTCAGTAATTTGAGGACATTATGCTGCATTGATTAAATAAGGAGGAATAAATTAATTATGGAAAACTCCTTTGACATTAAAGAGCAGACCAGCATGGTTATGATCTTTAATTTTAAAATTCAAATTTCCTTGTGTCTTCATGACTCTGAACTATGGTGTTTATTTTCTGGGTCATACTGTCATCATCAGTTATTACTTTTTCCAAAATATGAGGTTCTTCCAACAGTCTTGCTGAAATGCCTGAGCAAATTTCTTCTCATTTTTTGCTTGCAGCCTTAGTGGATAAAAATTAATTTGAAACTGATCATGGTTTTCAGTTCAGGGACCTAATTAAGACAAAGACTGAGTTTGAGCTAAAACATCTCAGTCCTTACACATTTACAAACAAAAGTGACACATTTTGATAGTCCCTGAATTTTTGTCACAGAATGCCATAACATCAAACAGCAATTACCAACCTTGTACACTGAACTTCCCCCTATGACCCATGCTGACTCTATACTTTCTGCAAGTGGAGGTTCCTGCAGACTCTGAAGAGCAGTTTCCAAAGAGCTACATGCCAGTGTATTCAGTCCTAATTTCCTGTATAAGAACAACATATAATGGGAATGTGAAACTTTTTCTCTCACCATCTAAAATTGAGGTTAAGTAGTTAGTACACCTTCATATTCAGGTGGTCTTAGTCCAGAGGCTAGCTATCATAGCTGAAGTCTATGTGGCTTACCTCAGTCTCTCCAGACAAATGCTAGGATAGCACATTAAATTAAGAAATAACCACCACTTCCTTCCACATCCTTTCCAATACATCATTCACAATCACCCTGTCATTCAACACTACGCATCCAAAGTAGTTGAAAAAGCATCAGTAAATAAATAAAAAATGTTTCTATAAAAATAGCTGAGTCTTGACAAATATGAGAACCAGAACACCACAACACTTGTAAATTAAAGTGCAACACTCCTTTCTCCTGTAACATTTTACTAATATTGGAATTCCATCCTGTACTGAAAAACAAATCCTATATAGTTCTGCAAACAAAGCTAGCATTATAAAATCCCTTAGTAAATGACAAATGACTGGTGCTTGTAGATTTTCACAGACAAAATTAATTTTTGTATTCTATACCAGAACCATGATCGATACATACAATCGAGTTAGGTGGTTTGGTGGGCAGAAGGTCACTCAAGCAAATGTTTTTTTGAGTCATCAGTTTGGAATCAAGAATATGTGCCTCCACAATAGTGATCACCAACCCACAGGCACCAATGTGTATGCAAACGTCCTTCAAGTGCCTGCAGTAACTCTTACACTTTACAGCATCCAAAATATCTTCTTTGTGGGGTCACAGGTCAACAAAGTAACAAGAGAATTAAAAAACACAATTAAAATATAATTATATCACAATGAGCACAAGAACAACAGACCAATGTGCTTTCCTTAGTGAAGAACATAATGAGGAGATGAAGGGCAATTCACCATAAATCCTATAGTCTCCTTGTAAAGACTGTCTTCTAAGTTGTAGTGCTCTGCAGTCAGGTACAAGTTTACCGATGTTTCAGAGGTGCTTGCAGCCTCAATCATCAAGCCCCTGATGGAGGCAGCAAGGACCTCTGAAACACTGGCCGCTTGTTGCAGGAGTTCATGGTTTTGGGGATACAGACCAGACTACAAGCTTCTAGAAGTTTGTCAGTGGCTGTAGTGTGTCTGGCATTGTTCAAACACAGACATTTTTGGATTGTACTAGCAATTACACGTGTGATTGGACAGCCATGATGTCACCATTGGCAAGCAATGGGAGACTGGGAGTGAAAGAGGGGTGGTTGGCACCAGCTGTAGTCAGACCTCATGACAATATTAATAACTTTGTTAAAAACACAGTAATAAAGCAAAGTTCAGAAATTACAATTCCAAACTACCTTGAACTTTGGGAATGGGTAACACACATAGCAAATGAAGTATTAACTTATACAAGATTTTAGAAACCAGGGTTCTTCATTGCACAACCAAAAGTCTGTGAAGCCCCAAGCCTACTACATATAGTACTACAGGTACTCTAAAACTGGCCCTGGTGTTTCTGGTATGTGTCTCAATGGACAACAATCAGAATGCTGATAAAGTCTGACAAAAACCATTAAATAACCTTACAACCAGTAACAACTGCTCCATAAACTTATATACAAGAATTTCAGATGACTCTTGAGTTCTATTTCTGATGACTGAGTTTGGTTTTTGCTGCATTTATTATACTTACAGATCTTGTCGTGACAATACAATGTTGATTCGTCCAGCAAGGGGTCGATTCTTGTCTGGAATTGATTCCCAGGTCTTCCTTCCCATGATGACTGCATTCTGTTTGCTAGAATCCTTGGTGCGCTTGGTCATCCGAGAGAAATATGCCATCTCTTTCCTGTTGAATAAAATTATATAATCACCATATTTAAATTGTGTAACTTTCCAACTGTTTTAGAACGTTTAATGAAACATGACTAAAAGGTACAAGCTACAAATATGTGATTCCACTAGGCATCATGAGAACAGAAGTCAAGAAGTACAAGGAGCTTTGGTTTATAAGCACAAAGTTAAAAGAATACAAATAAAACACAGACTCAACAAACTAGCATGGAACTTCACAGATATAGTAAATATACAAGGGTTCATACCACTCACGCACACACACCAATATATCAAAGCTCCATGCATTTAAACACATTTTGAAAGATTCCTTAAAGAATGATTTTCGGTGGAATAGTGGATGAATGGATGAAGTGTAATAAATATAAATTACAAATATCCTTGATAATTTGGACTTAAAATACAATTCAGCAATATATATAAAATTATTATTAATTGTTTTAGTTGCCACAAAAGCTTCAAGTAATAAATTATTAACTGGTTAAGACATGTTAGGCCATACTAGGAGGCATTTTGGAATCATTACTGAACAAATTCACTGTCGTGATTACTTTTTAACAGACATAATATGATAAGATTTTGAATAAATAACTCCTCACCTACAAATATGAGTCTATATACCTACTATGAGCCACTCAAAAAATAACCCATGTTAATACCACACAAATGTTTAACTTGGTGAGATTTGAGGGTCTCACAGCAGTCAATATGAATTCAGACTGCCTCCAAACTTTGTATCACTGGAATCGTGCAGTATTAAATTGGATTATTCATTATTATTTCATTGACATATACCTAATGCTGCCTCAATCCTGATTAAACAACTGGTCTGACAGGTCACACAGGAGAAGACTGTCTGTACACCTACTCTCAATTCTTGAAAAATCACTTTCTATATACAATATTTGTTCTCTATGCTGGTCCTTGTATATTGGCAAGCACCGGAGCACTACAAAACTCACAAATTAAACACGCAAGTTCCACAAGATTCAATGATTATCAAAACAACAGCCTTGTTATAAATGTAGGTACAATCACAATGACAACCCTTAAATTCAATACCACTAATATCCTAACCCACCACCAGACATGATCTTGTGCCACTTCTATTCACTATACATCCTGTCAACCCATGTTGCAAAGATCCAGGTTAATATCACACAGTTTTCTTAATCCTCAACACAGTTACTTTCTAAGAATTCACCACACTTAAATTCTGTACACATGTGTTCTTTCCTGTCAAAGCAGTATTTTAATTACCCTAACTCTCTATCTGTAAAGATAAAAATGGTAAACTCACCTCTGGTGCTTAACTAAGCACCACACAAATCAGTTGGGGAATGGAGGTAGTTTCACACAGTACTAGGCAAAGATATGTGATTATTTTCATGGCTCAACCACTTTACCCCTGCAAAACCTGCGATGGGGGGATATGAACCGAAATCTACAAGTTTCCATTTCCACTTTTCAATCTCCGCCTCTACAGACGACCCAAACCATCAGTAAATGTTCGTGAAGACTCGCATATAGAGCCATTTATCACTTGTAGGTTATATAGCATCTACAAGTACAAACTATGTAAGATTTGAAGCTTTCACGGCGATTACATGCAATAATGTCTTACTGTAACAAAACTTGTAAATGTTGGAAACGACTTATTTTTATTGTAGTTTATTAAACAACCCTTTGGCAATTTACAAGTGAATTCGTTTGTTAATTTTCGGAAATTAATTTTATTACTATACCTTAGTCTCCAAGGCAAATCCCCATTCATACCAATGCCCATATTTTCACTAACTGCGACGATAATATTCAGTTTAAAGTTCATTTTCACCGTGTCTTACCACAAGAAACACACGCGTCGATAAAAGCCAAAGCCGTTAAACTCACAAAAACGCGGTTCCACCATTGAGACCCAGTCTTGGCCACTATTTACTAGTGCAATTTCTGTTCTAGGACCCAAGAAACCATGACCACTTCTTTCCATACCCTTTCCAATTCAATGTTAATTTATCATCGTGTACAGTTGACATTGTCTAGCCTATTGAGTACAACAAACAAAATTAAAATTAAATAAGGGCGGGAAATTTTAAAAGTAACTTAACCAATCGCAAACAAAATGCCGATGACGGACGTAGTCTGTGACCCAAATATCCTTGTGATTATTTCAACCTTGGATACTAGATGTACACACGGATTATCTACATTTTTACTTAGTAAATTTAATGATGAGTCTATCAGTTAACCAAATGACTCATTTTCGCGGACTGCTGATCAAAATCGGCATGGAACATCTTCATGGATAATGAGCAATTTGGAAATAGCTCAACTGTGTCACCACGGTGTTCACAGCACGGGTCACATAACTCTGCTACACAAACTTATAGCAGGTGGTGTCCACGTACGTACCAGTCGAATTTATGTAGTTTACAAGTTGTCCGCCAGAGCGAAGTATCTGTAAGCATCGCGTTGCCTTTAGCTGAGTTTGCTTCTAATAATCTCCTCGCTCCGTGAAGCAGAGACACCATTCCAAAGTCTGGAAAACTCGTGTGCTGTGGTAGGAATAACATGAAGAGCTTCATCGCGTATCCGGAGACCTCGGATTTTCCTATCGAAAATCTGCCATATGGAGTTTTTTCAACTTCCGATAACGTAAGATATGTAAAAAAAATACCTTGTTGAGTGAAATGAATTTTGAATGGAAATACAGACGAAATAAGGTGTTCCGAGCGGTGGATGACTGACTAAATCAAATTTCCTTGAGCACCAGAGTATACACACACACAGTGACGTTCTTTACAAAACATATACTGAGGACTGGCAAACAGTTCTATACAAGGCCAGCTGGAAATTTTTCGATATAAACCAACAATGGAATATTGACCGCTGCTACCTCCGATAATAGAAATTGCACTAAAAATAAATAAAATAAAATAAGAGCTGTTTAAGCTTGAGGTATGCTTCCTACCATTCAGTTCAGAGTATTTTGTCATCTTGTTTGCTATCATAAACGTAGTATACAGAACTATAATTTTACCTGTTGTTCTGTATGAGCGCGTGACTTGGTCTCTCACTTAAAGAAAATAACGCAGATTGAGGGAATGTGAAAAAATAGTGCTGAAAAGAATTTTGGGTCAAAGACGAAGTAACATGAGACTTGACAAAATTTAATGACTATCATCAATTTTATATACTCTTAAAATCAAGAAGGATGGAATGGGCAAAGCATGTAGCACGGATAAGAATGATAAAAATTTTAGGGTGGAAAATCTAAACGGAAGACACTTTCCAAGACCTGGGTATATGTAAGGTGATATTAAATGTATGTTGGTGAAATCGAGTGTAGATTGGATTCATTTGGCTCAGGATAGGAATCAGTTAAGTTGTGAACATAATAATAAAGTCACGGTTCCCATAAAGAATGAAATAGTTACCTCCAAAATTAGATATTTAGTTTCAAGCGCGTAAATAAAAAAGAAACAGTAAACAACTTACTGGATGTGACCCGATATCTGCAAAAGGTTGGTAACCCCTGCTTTAAAGGATGAAGACCCCTACCATAAATCATGGAGCCCCGCAAAGGAATGAGCGCGTGTGCGTAGCTCTCTGATACCCCACGGTTCCTCTGTCATTTCACCAGTAATTCCATCATGCGATACCAATACTCGAGTTTATTTTTATTTAACGACACCAATATATGCATAAAATACATAGCAGCAAACTGAAACTTACAGCATAGTCTTTATGGAGAAGGTCGTGGTGTATGTGAAAAATACTGCTCTGACATGGGCGAAACAATTGGACGCAGAAACAGGAAGGTGGGGAGGATTACGAAAGTCACAAAGCAAACGACCTTCAGGAACAGGTCGAGCCGGTCTCACGCATAAGTATTTTTTTACCGGTTGGTGCCAGGCTGCGAAATTATTAACGTTTTTTTATTATTGTTTATTAAGCAGGATTCACACTGAAGTAACTAGCAACAGTCAACAAGGGACTGGCGATACATATTATCCTATCGGCTTCACATTTATACCACAGCGAACTTAAGTCTGTGAAAATGTCGGATGAAATTAACATTGCATGCCGCACGAACTCATTTCGCTATCTACTATAACGTGTTGCCTGAATGTGGTTCACTGGACGATGCAATGTCATTGATAAATCCCATCCATGATTTGCGATATGTATCGATCGGCGAAATGTTGCTGTCTACATGTATCGCATCATTGAGCGGTAATTTTGAAAGCGCTATTGCTATCTACCCTGTGTGAAAATGTCCACAATGTAATGCATGTTGTTTCTATAAGCGACACCTATGGCGTATCGTTTCCCGGGTGAATTTTTGACCCGAAATTGATCACCACCTTACATTTTGAGAAGTCAGCACAAATGACCCTCTCTGTATGTAAGGGCTGGATAATATCCTTGGCGGTGGCACCATTGGAAGACCAACTCTAGGGCCCACCAAGTGTCCTAACTAATGAGTACCACAGGTCCTTCGCTTCTGTACAAAGCGGCCAGAACGTGAAGCTGACCACACATCCATCTAGAACTGAGGTTAAGACTGCATGAATCTGTACAGCTATTCCTCCATGTGTCTTCATGGTGTGATACTTCTACAGGCACAATTGTTCTTTTACTGAAAGAATATACTCAATTTAAATTAATCATGTATCCTTTCTTTTAATCAAGGATACTCATCGGATTGGGGTGGCAATTGGGGACCAGATTCTGGACCTATCTGTGGTGTACTACCTGTTTGAGAATGAGAAACTTCAGCAAGCATTCCAAGAGGTGAGTCACAATGTCACATATCACTTTATATCACTTGTTACTTAAACCAATGGTTCCTGCCCTACACAATGAAGAGCCCAATGCAGATTTCCCTCTCTCAGCAGGATACTTAAATAGCAACATCACATTAAACTTATAAATAGACTTGCCCATGGGAAAAACAAGTTTTATTTCACTTGCTGGAAAATATTATCAGTTATTTATTTCATACAAAACCTAATTTCAGGTTTGAATTTGTCTCTTGTGCTTCTAAATGGAACCTTTTCAAGCCAGATGCACCTTTGTTGATAACCCTGGTTAAAACGAACCACATTAAATTTTAGTATTCCTTCCTTCTTTACTTTTGGCATGAGGTCTGTTCCAAATTGCAGTGCAGACTCTTGGTTGACACCACAACAATGTGGAGCAAAGTAAGCCTGAACATTCACAGTCTGTACACTCCTAGTTGTTGCTTTGTTCCAGGAAACACTGAACAGGTTCATGAGTTTGGGTCGTCCTATCTGGCTGGAGGCACGCTCAAAACTGCAGAATCTGCTCTCAGCTGGGAATACAACACTGCAGAGCAACCCAGACCTCAGAAAAAAGTGAGCCTTCAGTTTATGGACATTACTACTTGTGAAGTGCCCACTGTTCTCTTATCTCCACTGAGCAGACTTAGTGCAACTACAGAACATAATGTTGCAGAAGCGTAGCACACAACTCCTTTCAGTATTCAGTAACCAATTTTTTAAATACAGATACCCATACAGTCATCTGTCCAATTTCTTGCACATATAAACATATTTTGTGACTTCCTGCCATGTAATGAAGTTACCGGAGTAAAAGGTTGTTGTTTTTATTATAGACAAACAGAGTTAACTTTTATTGGCTGCTTACACATGATCCAGTTGGCCATGTATCAAAATAGCAATAAAAGTTTTAGATCTTACTGAGATGTACAGGTTATGTTATATACCAATTATTTAAGCAATAAACTGCCTTTAGAAAATTGAGACAGTTCTGTTTGAGTCATGTACCTTTATTGGAACAGTACAAAACAAAGTTAAATTTAACTGACGACTTTCTTTGTATACATGCAATACTGAAGTTTATCATAATCCAGTGAGTAATTCTGGAGCTTTCCGGAAATGCTTGCTACTTCTCAGTTCAAAATATTTTGTCTTCCCGTCTGATTTCTAAGAACCTGAAAATTAAAGTATACAAAACAATAATCTTGCCTGTTGTTTTGTATGGGTGCGAAACATGGTCTCTCACTCAAAGGGAGGAACACAGATTGCAGGTGTTTGAGAATCGGGTGTTGAGGAGATTGGAGATAGCTGTCATCATATTTATGTTCTTTTTGTTGGTCTTGCTTAGTTGAAGCATTTGTAGGTCCATCTTGTTTTATGTTTTTCTTTTTCTTAAAATTTCTCATTTTGATTCAATGATCTATTATACGGTTTCAAGAAAACAAAAATGGCAGATACAGTATTTATTGATACTTAGTTTTTATATTACTAAGATTGATAAATAATCAACACCTTTCTGCTCCCAGCACAAACTTTCTGAAAACTTAATGCAAAGTGATAAAATGTATTGGAAGAATTGTCATTCAGTGCTAATTCCAGTTTTCACCAATGTATAGTATGACGGGGGTTCAATCCCCAACAGGGGCAGGGGATTTTGCCTCTAGCCTCTGTGTCCAGACTGGCTGAGGCCCATCCAGCCTCCTATCGAATGGGTGCTGGGGTCCTTTCTTGGGGGTAAAGCACTGCCAGAGTGTGATGTTGGCCAGTCACCCATATCTAGTGCGAGGTTAACTGAGTAGG